GCACAGAGCCCAACACCCTGTTCTGAGCAGCAGGGTAGGGGGGCCGGGGGGCGGGGAAGGGGGCGGGGGGGTTCTGGGGGGGCGGGAAGTGGGAGGGGCAGGGGCGGGGCTAGGGCGGGGCTCCTCCCGTCCTCTTTTTTGCTTGCTGAAATATGGTAACCCTAGCGGAGACGCTGCGGGTTGGACACTTGCTCTGCAGGACCCTTCTTCCCAGTGTCGCCCCCGCCCCATCAGGGTTACGATCCCCCTCCAAGTCTGGCCTGCAGAGCCTCTTGGCTGAGGCGTCTCCCTGCGCTGGGCCCACTGCCCAGGGTCTCCCTCATTCTCCCCAGCTGCTCACCGCACCCAGCTCCGGACTGCTCCAGCCCCAGCTCCAGCTCCACTCTGCCTCAGCATGTCTGCTGCTGCTGCTCTGCCTTCAGCTCCCTGGGCTGCTTGTCTGGCCTCTCCGGCTCTGGTTGCTGCAGCTCTGCTCCCAGGACAGGTCTGCTCTGCAGGCTGCTTCTGTGACTCTGCTCCCAGCTCTGACCTGCTTCCTGGCTGCTTGTCTGGCCCCTCTAACTCTCTCTGGCCTGTGCTCTGGCTTTTGGGGCTGCAGCTCTGCTTCCAGCAGCTTAGCTCGGGCCCCTGCTCTCTCCTTAGCTCGGCCCCACTCTGTCTGACTCAGGCAATTCCAGCTCACACAGGGAGGATAGGACCCCCTTGGCCTCCTGACTCCCTGATTAGCCTGCCCACCCTGTCAATCAGGCTGATATGGAGCATTGGCCTCTCCCCATTGTTCCCGGGGACTGTCAGTCTCAGGCCTTGGCTACACTGGCAATTCACAGAGCTGCACTTGCAGCGCTCAGGGGTGTGAAAAAACCCCCCTGAGCGCAGCAAGTGCAGCGCTGTAAAGCGCCAGTGTAATCAGCACCTGCAGCGCTGCATACTACCTCACAGCGCGGCAAGCTACTCCCCTCGGAGAGGTGAAGTACTTGCAGCGCTGCGAGAGAGCTCTTGCAGCGCTGGCGGCGCGACTACAATCGACAGCGCTGTGAATCCGCGAGTGTAGCCAAGGCCTCAGGCTCCTGATTTCCCATTGACCCTTCCCCTTTTAGTGCTGGGAGCTAGCCAACCATAACACCCCCACTGAATGTTAGTAAGGGGGCAACAGTCCCCTTACATTCAGAGCAGTATAAATAAGTCATTGTCTGTATGAAATTTTAGTTTGTACTGACTTTGCTAGTGCTTTTTATGAAGCCTCTTGTAAAACTAGGCAAATATCTAGATGAGTTGATAGAAGACTTCTGCGTACCCCCAGGGTAGGGTTACCATATGTCCGTTTTTTCCCGGACATGTCCGGCTTTTCGACAATCAAACCCCTGTCCGGGGGGAATTGCCAAAAAGCCGAACATGTCCGGGAAAATGCCGGCCGGGCACTTCCCCTCCCACGGCGGCTCTGCTCCTCCCCTGACTCTTCGGCTCTGTTTAAGAGACGAGCTGCCCGAGCGCTACGGGCTTCGGGCAGCCCCCATACCTCCGGACCCTGCGCCGCCGGAGCCCGGGAGGGGAAGTGCCCGGCCGGGGGTGGCAGGGTCCGGAGGCATAGGGGCTGCCCGAAGCCCAAGCGCTACCGGCTTCACGGTTTGCCGGGCAGCCTCCAGACCCTGCGCCCCTGGCTGGGCGCTTCCCCTCCCGGGCTCCAGCTGCGCTGGGGAAACGCCGGCCGGGGGTGCAGGGTCTGGGGGCTGCCTGGCAAACCGTGAAGCCGGTAGCGCTCAGGCAGCCCTTTTCGCGTGGCTGGGAGTGGGAGGGAGGAGGGGGCGGGGTTGGGGTGGGAAATGGGTGGGGCCAGGGCCCCATGGAGGGTCCTCTTTTTTTATTTGTCAAATATGGTAACCCTACCCCAGGGGTATGTGTACCCCTGGTTGAGAACCACTGTACTACGTCCTTTGGAGGTACCAAGAAGAAATAAAATTTTTGGACGAACTTTAATCATCTCCTTTCTGTGTGTCAGAGACCAGGATAGCTATGAATGTATCAAAAAGAAAGAAAAAAAGAAAGAAAAACAGCCTATAAAGGAAGAAGAAGAAAATGGAAGATGGAAAATTTTTGATAAAACTGTTTTTCATAGGAAAAAGTTTTTCTGATTTAAATGAATTTTTCCATGATTTTGCAACAATTTTGACAAAAGTTCCCACAAGAAAAAAAAAAGTCAAAATAACTTGTTTGGGGAAAAATCTCAAAATTTTGTGTCAGAATTTTGTAATTTCATTTTGAATTTCATTTTATGGTTTTTTAATGCTTACAATATTTCCTGACACTGTAAAATAAGGTAAAAATAATTAAAAATGTAAAAAAATTTAAACAAAATACATTTGTAAAACAGATACACTTCATCTCTTGTCCCCAGGGTCACCACAATACTACATCCTCATACGACTGTTATGACAGCCACCACACTTAGTGAGCTCCATTTTGTGTTCTCATCTACTTCAACTGTTTTCACATGTAAGTCACATGGAAATAGTCATCAGTTCAGAGACATTAATGTGACAGTGGGAAAGAATATTCTCACGCTGATTAAAGAACTTTATCTCTTAGATATATGCTCACTCTCTCTCATGTCTCACTATACAGCTTCTGTTTAAAACCTTCCTCTTGCATAGATTAATACTACAAATTAGCAGTTGACATATCTTCACAAGAGATAGCTAAAAGACCTAATTTACTTGGAGGACTTCATATACTGCTATGTACATGCAGTTCAGAAATTAGGTATGATGTAGATGCATCAAAGGCCAGCAGAAATGGCTTAAGATCGTAGAGGAATATTGAAGTTCTACAAGAAAATGTATTATTATTAAGTGTTAATATATGGGCACCAATAGATCCCAAAGATCTTGAAGGACTGAACAAAATATAACCCCAGGAGTCGGAACTTAGCGGTAAACAGCAACTGCAGGAACATGGAATAAATGTAAACTGGTTTAAGCAAGAACTGATGGATATGAATGACCTAAGTGGCATTAATATTTATTAATATGTTAACCTATAGAATAAGTACACCTCAGTATTATGTGAGTGAGGAAGTTAGATTTGGGCACGGAAGGCTGAATATTAGCATTAATATTCATGATGGTGCTCAGGCCCTATGATAGGGCAAATCACCATGTGGAGAGTTAATTTTTAGTTTTAGCTTAGAGCTGCTTTCCATCATTGTTAGTTTTTCCATCATTTGACCTTTCAGCTCTACCATCAAATCTTGGGCATTGAAGAATCTGGACCATCAGACTCATTTGGCAAGCCAGACCCAGGGCTGGCCCTTTGTCTCTTACCACCAGGTCCTCAAGGAAGGGTGTAAGTATGCAGATTTAAGAGCTTGTGCAAAGAATGATACCACTGATATCCCCAATACTGTACTACTCCTGTCTTTTTATGTAGCTCGGAGCTTTTCTGGCTTTATTCTTTGTTTTAATAAAAATCTCTAAGGTTGTACTTTGTCCTCAGTGTGAATGTCCTGGCCACACACCCAAGGGCACCAATTAGATAGGGCAGAGCGGGCCTACCCCCTCCCACCGAGTTTCATACAGGAGGTGTGCTCCGAGGTGGAGCTCTTAACTGCTCAGCATGAGTGTGGAATATGAGTTCTGCAGAAAGGTGCTTCTCCCAGCTTGTGTCCCTGGGGCAGGGAGTCAGTGTTTTGTTTACAAACAGAGGCAGGGTGATTAAGATGAGAAAAGGCTAGTAATTAAATCAAGGATCTGGAAGTCCTTAGATGAACCTGTAAAACAGGAATACCTCTGCAGGGGCAGAGAGGGGGGTTAAAGAGAGAACACAGCGAACTCAGAAGAAATACAGCCAAGCCTTCTGAGCCAACGTTACATTCAGAAAAGAGGAAGATGTGAGCGGCACAAGTGAAAAGAAGGGGCCAAAACCCAGGGAAGGGATAGCAGTGGTATAGAGAAGTTTTCCTTAAAGCCCCAGCTCCTGGAGTCAAGTGATACGTTATGATTTCAGCCTTCATTCTTAAAGAAAAATGAAGTTTCTAGCCCTTGTGGCTGTGGAGAAAGCTTCAAAATGTGAGCCCAGTGCACCCTCAAGGTTCAAAAAGCAGAATGTAAATTAAAAGAACACCAAATCTATTATTTTTACATAATCTCATTATTTTCAAGCCAATCTCATGATTTTTGGTGAGCCAGATTCTTGATTTTTTGAACATTTGGGTTTGGCAATACTATGAAAGTAACTTGAAAGTGTCAGTTTCAGTCCTTTTAAAAGTTATTTTCTAGTCTATTATTTGTAGTGGGGTAAGACCCCTAGAACCCCAGGCAGGTGCAGTATAAACCACGGGGCCTTGCCCTAATAGGGTGTTTCCAAAAGTTAAATGATCTATTCCAAGCTTGATGAACTGAAAAAAAAAAAGTGATAGAAAGTAATCTAGGTTTTTCTACAATTGTTTCAGTTGCTGTATTCAAGCGTTAGTAACAAAGTAAGAATATACATTCATTTTTTTAAAACTAATCAGTGTCCCTTAACTGAATTGACACAAGATGTCAGAACAAGTATTAGAGCTGAGTGGATCTAATATTTATTAAATTTTCTTTTTATATAGGAATTAGAAATTATCATCTGACAGGAGCACTGTAGTTAAATTATCTGTAAAAAAAACAAGAGTTTTCAGGTACCCAAGTAGCCTTTGGAATCACGGTTAAAGTTGCCCCCTCTGCTGTCCCCCAAAATCTAAAATGGTGCCCCTGCACATACCTTGCTTGTCCCTGCAAACCTGATTCTGGGAAAAGAACCTTATTACCATCTGATCAATTGGCAATAAATACAATTATTAACAACCATTATAAGGGGTCAGGCAACATCCTGCCCTTTGGGGATTTCAGCACTTATCCAGTGAAAAATTGTAACTCGAATGACCCAGACATGTAAACACGGATTAATCCCAACACACCAAAGTAAATGCAAATACTAGTTTTTTGCTTTAATTTGCCACTGATCACAGTAGTTGAAGGTCATTGTGACCATGAAGAAAATATCCAGAGATCTACCTAGGCCTGATGAATATGATCATCATGCAGTCCACATGAGAGGATATTGTGGGTCTTTTGCAGTAAACATGCACGTAATTTTTAAACATTTTCAGTTTTGTTCATATGTTAGGTCAAGTTTCCTCTGACTCTTCCTCATTTTTGTAAACATCAGTGCCTGGAATAAACTCTGTGCAGTTCCTGCTTTCAGATTATCAAGTGTCCTAATGTTCTTTTGGATATACTGGGCTAACATCCAAGGGAGAATCTCAATTTAAAAGCTTTAGGCACTTCCAGTGTTATAAGTAAGTAGGATTTATAGATTTTTCAATTGCTTTTAAGTTTATATTTCCTTCCACTCAGCCTTTGACATTTAGTTCCTTCTCACAATTGCACTTCTGTCACTCCCTGGAAAAAGCTCCCGCAGCTATGGTGACTTAAAGGGATAAGTCTAAGCTTTGAAGTTTGAAAGAGTTCCAGGATGTTCCATAGTTCAATCTATTATAGACAGACATGCAGACAGACAGGCACACTTCAGTGAAGGCTGAAGGGCACTTACTGCAGCCTAACCCAAGCAAAAGGTGAAATCCTGACCCTGTTGAAGTCAATGAGAATTTTGCTGTGAACTATGAACCTGTTTCTGTCACCTGTTCATCCTTAACTTTGTCCATATAAACCTTCAAGAACTATTAATTTATGTCCCATATGCAATCCGGTCAAGCCAAGCCAACAGCATTCTTATCAACAAATTTCAAGGCATGAAGACATCTAGGAAGCAGAATCATTTTACAGTCCTCAACATTGTGTGTCATGGTTTGTGGCTGCCCACACTGACATAGTGGACTGTCTCTAAAACACCACCAAAATTCTGCTGCAGCACAAATTCCATGTATGGTACAAAACCAATTGAGAAGGCCGGAACTAAGGCCTTGTCTACACTACAAAGTTTTGTCGACACTCAAAAATCAGCATAATAAAAATCAGAATGTCATGTTCACACTTGCTCCCTATGTTGGTAGAGTGTGTCCACAGTTGGGGCACTATCATTGACAGTGTGAGCAATGCACTGTGGGTACCTATCCCACAGTCCAGCTGACACCTTCTGTCAGTAGGTGTTGTGGGAAGGTGGAGCGGATGGTGGTGCATCTTGGAACTAGGATCAATGTCCCATGACGCATTGCTTTCTGTCCCAACACTCCATGGGCATCTAGCATCCTTTCATGGCATTTTTCAATGGCCTTTTTTTGCTGTGTACCCCGGCTCAGTGGTTTGAGCATCGGCCTGCTAAACCCAGGGTTTTGAGTTCAATCCTTGAGAGGGCCATTTATGGAATTGGGGTAAAAATCTGTCTGGGGGTTGGTCCTGCTTTGAGCAGGGGGTTGGACTAAATGACCTCTTGAGGTCCCTTCCAACCCTGATATTTTATGATTCTATGATCTTTGTGAGAAGGGATGGATCCCACACTGCTCTCCTATGTTCTTGTGACAGTATGCTGGGCAAGAACTGCTGACCCGGCCCTCTGTCATGCCAGATCCCATTAAGGGAAGGAAATTGGAGCTAGCTAGAGAAAACCTGTGCCTAATTGGGGAATGAGAGACACCTGCCCGCCCAATTAGCCCAGGACTACATAAAAGGCTGGAGGAAGGAAGCCAAGGAAGTGAGCGGAAGCTGAACAATAGCTCTTCCCTCCTGGCTGCAGATACTAGAACTCAAGCTGTGTATGGTAAAAAGGTGGCGGGAGCACAACTTGTAAATAAATGGCACCAGTGGTTACTGAACCCCAGGATCTCTGAGTGACTTTGTCAGCATAGCAGGGGCAGGAGCCAAGAGGGCCCAGCTACACCTTGGGGCTCCTCTGGGATCTTGTGCCAGAGCAAGAGTTTGGCAGCCCTGGAGATGGAGGAGACCCTGCAGTGGCTGGTGAAACAGCAGGAAGAGGTACGAAAAGCTATGCAAACCTTTCAGCAGTCCCACCAGCTAGAGAAGCAGGCCTTGCTTAGCGGGCAAGCTGAGCAGCAGAAGAGCCTGCAGAACTTGATACAAGAGCAGGCCAGAATACAACAGCAGCTCCTCCAGGAAATGGTGAGTCCCACAGTGGGGGATGGCATTCGGGCGTTGGGCTTAGGACTTTGTAAGATGGGCCCTGCAGATGACCTAGGACTTTAGAAAAGCAGATTTTGACTCCCTCAGGGAACTGATGGGAGGGATCCCCTGGGAGAATAACATGAAGGGGAAAGGAGTCCAGGAGAGCTGGCTGTATTTTAAAGAATCCTTATTGAGGTTGCAGGAACAAACCATCCTGATGTGTAGAAAGAATAATAAATATGGCAGGTGACCAGCTTGGCTTAACAGTGAAATCCTTGCTAATCTTAAACATAAAAAAGAAGCTTACATGAAGTGGAAGATTGGACAAATGACCAGGGAGGAATATAAAAATATTGCTCAGGCATGCAGGAGTGATATCAGGAAGGCCAAATCACACATGGTGTTGCAGCTAGCAAGGGATGTTAAGAGTAACAAGAAGGGCTTCTACAGCTATGTTAGCAACAAGAAGGTGGTCAGGGAACGTGTGGGCCCCTTAGTGACAGAGGATGTGGAAAAAGCTAATGTACTCAATACTTTTTTTGCCTCTGTCTTCATAAACAAGGTCAGCTCCCAGACTACTGCACTAGGCAACACAGTATGTGGAGAAAGAAGTGGTTCAGGACTATTTAGAAAAGCTGGACGAGCACAAGTCCATGGGGCTGGATGCACTGCATCCGAGGGTGCTAAAGGAGTTGGCGGATGTGATTGCAGAGCCATTGGCCATTATCTTTGAAAACTCATGCCGATGGGGGGAGGTCCCGGATGACTGGAAAAAGGCTAATATAGTGCCCATTTTTAAAAAAGGAAAGGAGGAGGATCTGGGAAGCTACAGGCCAGTCAGCCTCCCCTGAATTCCTGGAAAAATCATGGAGCAGGTCCTCAAGGAATCAATTTTGAAGCTCTTAGAGGAGAGGAAAGTGATCAGGAACAGTCTGCATGGATTCATCAAGGGCAAGTCATGCCTGACTAACCTAATTGCCTTCTATGATGAGAAAACTGGCTCTGTGGATGAGGGGAAAGCAGTGGACGTGTTATTCCTTGACTTTAGCAAAGCTTTAGATACGGTCTCCCACAGTATTCTTGCCAGCAGGTTAAAGAAGTATGGGCTGGATGAATGGACTATAAGGTGGATAGAAAGCTGACTAGATCATCGGGCTCAACGGGTAGGGATCAATGGCTCCATGTCTAGTTGGCAGCCGGTATCAAGTGAAGTGCCCCAAGGGTTGGTTTTGTCCAATAGCTTCATTATTGATCTGGAGGATGGTGTGAATTGCAGCCTCTGCAAGTTTGCAGATGACACTAAACTGGGAGGAGTGGTAGA